TAACTCGTCGAGTACCGTCATTATAGACACAATTATAGAATATTGTTCTATAATTGTGTCTATAATGACGTCACCGGTTGCGGTCACCGATGACCGCTTGGTGTTTGACTGTTTAAAAAAATTCTCAGTAGTAGCACGGAGCCTGGAATGGTGCCTGGGATATGACAATAGGCTGACCCCCTATTACATGGGAAACATCATTCGATGAATTTCCCCCTTAAAAAAAACATGTACAGGGGCATAATGTGCACCTCTGCCTACCTCCTCGAGGATAAAAGACGTGATGCTATGTTATGTATGTAATTTTACTATTTATAGGTAGGTATTAAGTCGCGGAGAACCTAACGGGTAACCGGGGCTCCGTCTCGGATGGGGTGGTTTTTAGTCAGTAAGAGTCTGACACTCCCTCACCCAGGCGGGAGCAGTCATTCGATGATTTTCGCCCCTTAAAAAAAATAGGTAGGTATTATAACTATAGTTTACTTTTTCTTATAGCAGTCTAGACGAGTCAGTTAAGGATATTAGTAAAATAGACGTAAACTAACGTTAAATTATTGTTTATAATATACAAAAGTCAAAAGTCAAAGCATTTATTTTAATTAAACCATAATTTGGTACTTTTGAAACGTTAACAAATACAAAATAAATAATAGGTAGTCTGTCAGTCAGTCCGTCAGTGAAGCTAGGTGAAGCTAGGTGCTCATTCCAAAATGTAGATTATGGAGAAGAACGAGCAAGAAACTCCATTCGTTACTTTTTTTTTAAAAAGTATATAATTTCTTATTCTTGCCAGATAAAGTACCATAATGCCACTATGGACAACAAACAAATTAAGATAATTATTTTAAAAATGTATACTTTTAGACTACTTAGTATTACTGAACATTTCGAAAATCGAAAATCCAATAGCACTTTGTCCGACCTGCCTGTCCAGAAGTTCTAGTAACCACTCGACCATCAAAGCGATCTTCTTAATACAGTTTTTTTTTGTTTCAGGTCATAAGCACTAAGGCATCATAATGTTTGAGTGCTTCTTAGAAATCGGCTTTGAGGCCGAACTAAACACCAAAGAAAACCCAGAGTTAATGGAGTTGGCATATGAACAGTGCAAAGAGAATCTGGCTACCAGGGCGGTAGCGATCATAGAGCTTAGGCAAATGATATTTGGTGAGTGATGGACAATTGACAAGGCGTGTTATATGTTGCGTTTCCTGTATTTTCTTTCTCTTGTTAAAATTAATCTATAGGTACAAAGGCTATTTTTTGCCTGTTGTAATTTGTGTGCATAAATTATTTATTTACAATATTTTTGACAGCTGCATGTAAGCAGTCAATGACTCTTTGCAGGTCATTCGCTTATTTCAAACATATTTTTAGGTACTAATCATCGACTGTCAATTGTTATGTCTTAGCAATACATTAAAATTGCATCTCATTAACTAAAGAAAAGTTCAAATGATCATAATTATTTTTTATTCAACGTATAAATGATAAATGGAGAATGGTGGAACACATTAACTACAAAGTGTTTTGTTTGACTGAAATCAGACTGATCTGACTTCGTAACCACTTTTCTTTCAATAACATTAATAAAAAATGTCGTTTCAGATAGGGGTGAATGCCATCCTTTAAGAACCGACGATGAATACCTGCTAAGGTTTCTTCGAGCGAGAGAATTCATTGTACCAAGAGCACATAAACTGGTAGGTGTTTTTTATAGTTGAAGACTTGTATGAACGTAGGCAAAGGTACTTAATCTATAAGTACGTACTTACGCATGTAGTACTTGATCTTTGTATATTTACTTAGGATCTTTACTATAATTAAACATTAGTTGGCTACTCAGAAATGTTATACGAAGTCAAACAATTACACTTTATTGTATAAAGTGTAGATATTACACGATCGTAGCATGTATGTCAAGAGGGAAATAGGCAGCACTTTTTTTCCTATGCGGAAAGCATAAGACAATAAGAGGTTGGGGTAGACGTGTTCTGGAGTACCACGTCCAGGCCTAGGCAAACGTAATGTTGGGCTTCCTCCAGCTCAGTGAAGCAACGATATCAGCAAAGTGGATGGCAGTGGCTGGATAAGAAGAGCTGAATATTGAGCTAAAGAAATCAATGTCTAATAGTGGTCAGAAATGGATGATGATAATAATATGTGGCATGCAGTTACAACAATTAGATTGTTGTTTTAGGGTTTATGAAAGGTCTCAATATTACTGAACTTTTTTAAAACACAATAAATATTTTTACTATGCCTGAGGTAAATCGAGCTTAGCATCAAAGGTAATTGAAACCTGTTATATCAAAAAGAGAAGAATTCTTTTCTTTTTTTATGGCATAAACCGTAAACGAGCAGACGAATCACCTGATGGCAAGCAATCGGCGTCGCCCATAGACACCTGGAACACCAGAGGCGTTACAAGTGCGTTACCGGCCTTTTGGGGATTAGGAGTTTGAGGATCGTTAGGGATTCAGGGATTGGGGAGATTGGGGAAGGAGAGGGTAATTGGTCCTCCGGTAACCTCACTCCCACGACGAAACACAACGCAAGCGTTGCTTCACGTCGGTTTTCAGTGAGGCCGTGGTATCACTCCGGTCGAGCCGGCCTATTCGTGCCGAAGCATGGCTCTCTCACACTTAAATTCATATAAAAACTAAAAATATTCGTTTTAGTTACTTGAATGTATATGATTTATATTAACATTAATATCGTTTTTTAGAGCAGGATGTAGATTATATAATTATATTCATTTATTCAGCATGGAAATTTTTTTTCGGTGTTTTTTAGATATATATTATTCTGGTGTATATCGAGAATCTACACATAGAATAAAACTATAGAAGTGTAAATTGTGTACATTGAAAATATAAAAAAAATCATTAGTTGGGAGAGTTACTAGATAGACACCAAACCCAAAAATGTAATTAAACAATTTTTGTCTGTCTGTCTGTATGTTCACGCATCACGCAAAAACTATCGGTTCGATTACGATGAAACTTGGTATGATTATACTTTAGTATCCTGGGCACAACACTTTTTATCCTGAAAAAGTGTATGCACGAAAAAACAAACTTAATGATGCGGCGCAATCCCTAGGCATAGTTTCTGTACCAAACGCAAATAAATTTGTCGAATGTTAGTTAGCCCGCAGTGGAGTTTACGCTCACCGCCGTGCCCTCAGGGAAGTGATTGGCGATGGCGACCTCTCGCGTCCGGGCCTAGTGCAGGCCATGATGCGGAGCGAGGGGGACTGGGATGCCGTCTCCTCCTTTTGCGAAGCAGTCATGCTAGCTAAGGAGGAGGCGGGACGCGTGAGGCAGCGAAGCGCTGCCTCCTCGCAACCCAGCCATCGCGAAGGACACACCGGGCGTCGGGGATCGCG